ACAGCACTTTTTTTTTTTTTTTTTTTGAGACAGAGTCTCACTTTGTCACCTTTGGTAGAGTACCGTGGTGTCACAACTTACAGCAACCTCAAAGTCTTGGGCTTAAGAGATGCTCTTGCCTCAGCCTCCCAAGTATCTGGGACTACAGGCACCCGCCACACACCTGGCTATTTTTTTTATTGCAGTTGTCATTGTTGTTTAGCTGGCCTGGGCCAGGTTTGAACCCAACACCCTCGGTGCATGTGGCTGGCTCCATAACCACTGTGCTATGGGCACTGAGCCACCACGGCACATTCTTTAGCTTCAGGTCCCTGTCCTTTTGTTCTCCGCTTCTTTTTCTTTTCTCTCTCTCTCTCTTTTTGAGACAGAGTAACACTCTGTCACCCTGGGTAGAGTGGGTAGAGTGCACGGCGTCACAGCTCACAGCAACATCAAACTCTTGGGCTCAAGCAATTCTTTTGCCTTAGCCCCTCAAGTAGCTGGGATTATGGTGCCTGCCACAACACCTGGCTATTTTTTGTTGCAGTTGTCATTGTTGCTTAGCTGGCCCAGTCCAGGTTTGATCCTGACACCCTCGGTGTATGTGGCTGGCACTATAACCACTATGTTACAGGTGCTGAGCCAAAATGATGAGCATTTTTTCATGTGTTTGTAGGCCATTCACCTGTCATTGTCAGAGAAGTTTCTGTTCAAGTCTCTTGCCCACAAAGAAATGAGATTTTTTGTTCTTTTCTTATTGACTAATTTGAGTTCTCTGCAGATTCTAGTTATCAGACCTTTGTCCAAATCATAACCTGCAAAAATCTTTTCCCCGATGGCTGTTGGTTTGCTTTACTTGCAGTGCCCTTAGCTGTGCAGAAGCTTAGCTTGATCAGATCCCAGTAATGTATTTTTGGTGTTGCTTCAATTCTTGGGGGTTGGGGGAGGGTTCCTGCTCATAAAATATTTTCCTAGGTCAATATCTTCAAGTGTTTTCCCTGCACTCTTTTCTAGTATTTTTATAGTTTCATGTCTTAAGTTTAAATCTCTTATCAGTGAGAATCAATTTTTGTTAGTGGTGAAGGGTGAGGGTCCAGTTTCAGTCTACTATAGGTTGCCAGTCAGTTCACCCAGCACCATTTGTTAAATAGGGAATCTTTTCCTCAATGCATGTTTTTGTTAGGCTTATCAAAGATCAAATGACGATATGTGGCTGGTTCATGTCTAAATTCTCTACTCTGTTCTGTATATCTACATCTGTATTTTTGTGCCAGTACCATGTTTTATTCTTGATATGACTTAGAAACTAGGGCAAATTCTTTCTTTACCTGATTAAAAACAATCACAAATCAAGAAACAATATAGCAAATGATGAAATTATAGAAGCATACCATTATATTTAGGATGTTCACTGCTATTACTTTGTTTTAATGTTATAGTTGCTTTAAGCAATTCAACACAATAACATGATCAACCAACTTACAAATTTCAGAGGATGGTGATGGGCACTTATCTAGCTGTTAGCCAAGAGATCAGCCCTCTTCCCTCTTGTGCCCTATCCTCCACCACCTGTATTGGCTTTTAGCCTTGGGGCTGTCGCAAACTTTTCCAGAAGCAGAAACTGCAATCAATCTGGCTAATAACTTCTTCTTAAGGCAATTTTGAAGAGAGGAAGCAAGAGTGAGGGAATAAGAGCACAGCAAGCAAATGGGCTGCAGATTGTGGGTGGCTGGAGTTGCAATATGTAAAACTAGGATTCTATTATGGGTCACATCTGCTTTTTCTTTTTGGTTCAGGTTAGCTAAGGAAGGCTATTTGCTGAGGGAGAGAATGATGGATCAGACATCCAGAGAGGTGCAGGCTAGAGATAGGAGAGTCCAGTTTTAGGCCATTCTGAGATACAGCTATGGTCCTGCTTTTGTGTTATTGATGCCTTCGTTTTCTTACATTAAAACGTACTTTTTGCTGGTGGTAGTGGTACTTTGAGTTGAGCTGACACAGAGAAGTATCTAATTACAAAGTAGATGAAATAGTAGATTTTTTTACATATTCACAATAACAATACATAAGACTATGTATGAGAATAAAAATATATTTTTCCACAGTAGCAACAAAAAGATAAACAGGAACAATTAAACAAAAACGTGCAGCACATTTATAGCATGGATACATTTGGTAGTCATCAATGGTAAAATATAAAACTTAAAAATGCAAGACTCATAATGAAAGGATATCAATTATCTCCCAATATTTTTATATCAAAGCAATTCCAATAAACATTATAATGAAGTTTTTCGTGGACTATGTATTAGTGATTCTAAAGTTCACTTGTGATAATTAACTGGCAAAAAAGACTAATGAATTAGAAAAGGAATAGCATGATATATATAGCTAGTGGTGGACAAACCTGTCTGCCTTGTCAGATATAGTTCTAACAATTAAAACATGTGGCTCGGCGCCTATAGCTCAACCGGCTAAGGCGCCAGCCATGTACACCTAAGGTGGAGGGTTCGAATCCCCAGCCCGGACCCGCCAAACAACAATGCCGGCTGCAACCAAAAAATAGCCGGGCATTGTGGCGGGCGCCTGTGGTCCCAGCTACTTGGGAGGCGGAGGCAGGAGACTCGCTTGAGCCCAGGAGTTGGAGGTTGCTGTGAGCTATAATGCCACGGCACTCTACCCAGGGGGACAGCTTGAGGTTCTGTCTCAAAAAAAAAAAAAAAAAAATAATTAAAACATGTAGTATCAACATAAGAACTTTAAGATGCATCAAAGAACTGTAATAAAGTGCCTAGAGATAGATTCTACTACATGTAGAATTTAGTACGAAATACCCATGTCATTATACATTTATGGAAAAAAGGAAGATTTACCAAGACATTCTTCAGGTACTATTAGTAAGCTATCTGGAAAAAAAAAAAAAACAAAAAAACTTCATCATCTCCTCCCATACAAACAAAAACTACAAGGAAATAGAGGTAAATACCTTAGGGTGACAGAATTTTCTAAACTAAGTATCAGTAGTGAGAAAATAAATGCTTAATATATTATGTAAAACTCCAAATGTCAAAAATATTTTAGAAAAACTTAAGAAGCACATAAAAAGCCTGAAATACATTTTATCTTGTATTAAAAGTGGTAAGGGGGTACAAATGTTTTCATTTACATGCATCACTTTTGTAATTCTTGGGTCTGGGCTATAAGTGTGCTCATCATCCAAATAGTGTTCACTGACCCCTGGGAGGCTTTTGCCTCTCCCCTCACACTGCCTCTCTCCTGGCTGATTTCCACCTAATTTTACTTCTCTCTGTGGACATGTGCTCATTAGTTAGCTCCAATTTCATAGCAAGCACATGTGTTGGTTGTTTTTCCATTCTGGAGATACTTCATTTAGGAGAACGATGTCAAGTTCCATCCATTGTTGCAAAGGCATTAATTCATCTTTCTTTATGGTCAAGTAGTACTCCATGGTATACATGTACCACATTGTGTTACTCCGCTCATGAATTGATGGGCACTTGTTTTGATTCCTTATCTTTAAAACTATGAATTGTGTTTTGCAATCAACATTCAAAAGCAGGAGTCTTTTGAGGATAAAAGACTGTTTTTATTTTGGGTAGATACCTAGTAGTGAGATGGCTGGATTGAATGGTGGGTCTACTTTTAGTTCTTTGGGAATATCCATACTGTTTTCCCTAAAGGTTCTACTATTGATATTATAATTTGCAGTCCTACCAGTGGTGTATAAGCATTCCTTTCTCTCTGCATCCATGCCAACGTCTATTGTTTTGGGGCTTGTTTATGAAAGCCATTCTAACTGGGGTAAGGTGATATCTCAATTCAGCAAAGTCTCAGGAAACAAAATCAATGTACATAAATCCATAGCATTTCTATATACCAATTACAGTCAAGGTGAAAGTCAAATCAAAGACTCAATACCATTTACTATAGCTACAAAGAAAATAAAATACCTAGGAAAATACTTCACCATTGAGGTAAAAGATCTCTACAAGGAGAACTATGAAACATTAAGGAAAGAAATGACAGAGGACACAATCAAATGGAAAAACATTGTGTTCATGGATAGATAGAATTAACCTTGTTAAAATGTCTGTAATACCCCAAATGGTTTGTAGATTTAATGCAATCTCATTAACATAGGACCATAATACTTTGTAGATCTAGAAAAAATAATTCTATGCTTTGTTTGTAACCAGAAAAGAACCCAAATAGCCAAAGAAAACAAAAAAA